CCTTCATAATGCAGAGCTCAGCTGCTGCTCTGCCTATAGTTAGAAATGGCACTATAGTAAGCAGTGTTTAATAAACAGCTGTTTTTCTAAATTCTGCTGAGGTGAAATTCAGTGCAGTCCTGTATCGTGATATGTATCGTATCGTGGCCTCTGTATCGTGATACGTATCGTATCGTGACTTTGCTGGTGATACACAGCCCTAGTAAACAGGAACTAATGCCTTTAGTGTTAAATCCTCCAAAAATCACCAGCAGACAACATGGATAGATATTAGTGCTGGGCAATCGCTGGATTAACCACAGTTAATTGCATCTAAAATAAAAGTTTGTGTGTACATAATATACGTGACCCTGGAGAACAAAACCAGTCATAAGGGTCAATTTTTTGAAATTGAGATTTATAGACCATCTGAAAGCTGAATAAATAAGCTTTGTTAGGACAGGACAATATTTGGCCAAGATACAACTATTTGAAAATCTGGAATCTGAGGGTGCAAAAAAATATTAAGTGTGCAATGCATATTAAAATATCTTCATGGAACATGATCTTTACTTAATATCCTAATGATTTTTGGCATAAAAGAGAAATGTATAATTGTGACCCATACAATGTATTGTTGGCTATTGCTACAAATATCCCCCAGCGACTTAACACTGCTTTTGTGCTGCAGGGACACATATGTGTGTGTACTGTGTATATTTATTATGTATATATAAATCCACACGCATGTAAGTATATATCAGAAAAATGTTATGTTTATAAATTACAAATATTTATATATAATGTAAATATTTTCAAAATATATGTGTCTTTATATACACACATAATAAATATACACAGTACACATACATATATAAACAAAAACTTATTTTGGATGTGATTAATCGTTGCCCAGCACTAATAGATGTATAACACGCTGTTGTGTACAACACAGAAGTGCAGTATCTTTACCTCCCATGGGCTCTTCCTCCTCTTCAGCTCGTCACACTTTCTCAGTTTGCAGATCTGGTGTCCGATCTTTCGGTTCAGGCAGTTGCTGCAGGTACCGCAGTTCTCCTTCTTCATGCAAGGCCCACATACGCCGCATCTCTTTCTCTTCTTTTTAAGAGGTGTCACAGCCTCCATCGGTTCCTGGTCTGCCTCCATCTGTGGCAAGGAGAACATGCCAGCTTGCTCATGCTCGGACCTGATGTAGTCGGCCGCAGGAGACACCACCCTTGCGCTCCTGGCCCCGAGGAAAACTTTAGGGTCCTCCTCGTCCAGAGAGAATTCATATATGTCCTGGACGGGAGGGCCAGGGCCTCCCCTCGGCTTGTGCATACTGAGGGTCCCGCTCTCTTATGGGACAAGAGTGGCCGCTAACAGTTTAAAAATACTAGGTAAAAAATAAGGTTCTTTACAGCACGGCACAGACCAGTCCATAAAGTGTGTGTGCTGAGTTAGGGCCACAGGGAGGAACGTCTGGACAGGGTCTTAAAGGGCACAAGAGGAACTCTTGGACATGACGTCATTCACCTGCAGGTACAGGTACGTTAGGAACACGGCCGCAGGTGATGGAGAGCATCTCTCTGTGACACAGAATTGATGTCATTTGGATGCAGACAGAAAGCAGTTCTGGTCATTGCCAGTGAAGACACTTTGGGGACTGTATGGGGAGAAAAAGGTCAGGTTTAGGATATATTTCAGTTTTGATCAAAATGAACTATACTGTAGCTAAATAAAGCAGAATGAATTATATATATATATATATATATATATATATATATATAATGCATATAGAGTGAATTATTACTATATGAGCCCATTACAGGTTTTTGTTAACATTACCATGATATGTGGTATAATCTATCTATCTATCTATAAATGTGAATATCTATCAATCTATCTATAAATGTGAATATCTATCTATCTGAATATCAATCCATCTGTCTGTCTATCAAAGGCCATAAGTCAAAAGACACTGACAATCCCAGGCTGAAGTATCATGATCATTGTACAGCATATAGAGTGAATTATTACTATATGAGCCCATTACAGGTTTTTGTTAACATTACCATGATATGTGGTATAATCTATCTATCTATCTATCTATCTATAAATGTGAATATCTATCAATCTATCTATAAATGTGAATATCTATCTATCTGAATATCAATCCATCTGTCTGTCTATCAAAGGCCATAAGTCAAAAGACACTGACAATCCCAGGCTGAAGTATCATGATCATTGTACGATCTCTTACAATGATGTGCAAAGGGAAAGAGACCCAGACAAGACACAAAGGTGCTGAATGGCGATAGGTACTACGTGTGAAATGTGAGCACAAGCTCGGTGAGAATGGCGAGTCCCACGAGACAGCTCTCCGTCGCTCTTTGTCTGTCCGCTTCATGTCTGAGTCTCAACGCAGGACTCGAGCTCGAGCTCTTTGTTCGGCGCTTGGGGACCGTCAATAAACTCCGATGTTTTAACGGTAACTGCGGCTCACGCAGCGCACGCATGAGGCATTGTTGTGAAGGCATTGTGTGGTTAACATACGTGAGGAGTCGTTAACGAAACGTTGTGTTTCGCAATGGCGCATTATTTATTCTGTAAAGTATTTGTGGAGATCATAGCGCTTTAATAAGGAATTCCCTCGGTGCCTCGCTTCATGCTTCGATAGATTATTCATTCTCACATAGGCTACTGCAGAGCTATTAATACGGTAGATTAAGACCGTAGCATCGCTCACACACACACACACACACACAAACACACACACACTGGAAGTAACCCAGTCCTCCTCTTATCTAAGGCATGGCGAGTGTGACTTTTAATATTAAGATACAAGTTTTACAGTCTAGCCTACAGGACTTATTTACAAGTTTGAGCAAAATAACCTTATTGGGTGTTTTCCAGCTATAGCTACAAGTGCTATACATATATATATATATATATATATATATATATATATATATATATATATATATATATATATATAAAAGAGTAGGCTGATTGTTTTCTTTAATGCATATATGACAGCTGCACAAGATATGATAACGCTTGCGTAAGCAGAGAGTAAGTGCTCGAGTCAGCAGAAAAGCTCTTAAACTTGCATATAATATTTCCATGTTCATCTGCTAACATCATTTACATAGGCCATAGCCTAAAAAGTGTCCATAACCCGTGTACAATTGTGTAAATGTATAGAAAGCAAATAAAACATTTAAACAATTCTAAAAGCGTTACAGACTAGAAGATAATAGAATGTGCGCGCGTTTTCTTCACAACTACATTACCTATCTTCCCTTACGAAGATCAACCATGCTTTTACAATAAAAAAACCATTGTTAGTATAGTTAAACCCCAGATTAACCATGGTTTTGCTACACTAACCGTAGTATTTGTAGTACGAATGGTAATCAATACGTCAAAAAACCTGCTTACTACATTTTTCCTGTAGTACTATTTCCTACAGCTTGCACGTGGAATTGTTTTTGTCCTGCAAATCTCGCATATTTTGTATAACTAACTTCTTCTGTCACAGGAGGATGTGCTAACAGTAACTTCACTACTTCAGCTCATTTATAAGTGACTAATAACTCATGCACCCCGTGTTAAAGCAACATTAAAGGGTTAGTTTGCTAGTAGTGACCGATCTTTCGAATGACAAGCAGTCTGAGTGAGTAATACATCAGTCTGGAGCCTATTAGAAGGGACGAACGAGAAGTCTGATACAGTGCTAAGGAATCCTGCTTTATCGTTAAATGGCTCATAAATAAAAAGCAAGCCAGGCAAGTGTTTCGCACGCGCTCTGAGACTTGAGCACGTGGCTCCTCACTCAGCCGGCGCTTTAACTGGCGGCAAAAATGGAGAGCTGAGGAAAAGCTGTAAGACTGCGTGAGCTTTGGCCATCTGTGTCGACGAACAAGTGACAGTTTTCCTCAGAAGGGTGAGAGAAACGACACATCAGCAAGCCCCCCTCTGCAGAAAGAAAACAACACCCCGGGGCGCGAGTTCTCGCAAAGAAACGAAATGTAACTAAATATGAGCAAACAGAAGGTTACATTATAACGCGTGCAGTACATTGTAACAGCAGCGGTTCCGGTGTGCTCCGGTGTTGTTACACTGATAGTTCTAGCATTATCATCGCATAATACTGAGAGAAAACCCATCAGTCATCGATGTGTATTGCGCTAATCACCTCATTAGGGCTACACAAACTTACACAGGGGAATACACAACTTTCTGCACTTGTATAGCCTTTTCTTCAAACAGACAACGTTTCCAAGAAATAATAAGGACTTACCAAGCGATGGACACGTTCTTTGAGCGTCTTGTCAAACCCCATTTAGATTTAACCGATGGTTACTTAAAAACTGCATGCATACACAAGTTCCACATGACTAGAAGTGCTTCACATGCAGTGTTCGTCTGCTGCCAAGCAGTCGAGACGACATGACACGACAAGAAATAAAGTTGCTATTTCACTCCCTCTGTGTCTCGTCTGTGTACTCTCGGGAAGTTTCAGAGTTAAAGGACGATGAGGAGGAGGAAGGAGACTGAAGTAAGTCGCGGAGTGGAGTTCAGTGTCGTGGACCGAGGGGGTTAAAACTGCGTCATCGCCGTGACATGACGTCACCGGAGCACAACTTAAGGCAGCTTCTTGAGAAAGAAATTCGAATTTATGTTGACGATTTTTTATTTATTTACATAAAGCAATTATCATCTCCATTTGGAAGCTCTTTCATATATATAGACATAATGTCTAGCTGTATGCATTTTTTTTTGTTTTAGTGTATCAGTGTAGTCCTAACTGTACTTTGACTGTGTTTTTTGAAGTTTCATTAAAAAATCAGAAGTTAAGGGAAGCAACATGTTAAGGGGTTTCTTCAAGTCTCAAGGGTAGAAACAATCCTTGCCACATGGTGACATGTCAATCTCTAGATATGAACATAATACACATTTTAATCAGCGTTTCTGCAGTTCGCCTGGTTTTAGAGAAGCATGCTGCAAAACATGGGGCATCTTGTGGATTTTTTATTATTATTATCATCATCATAGCACTGTGAACGGTTGTATTTATCTGAAAAACAGTATGGAGGAAAGAAAACCACATCAATAGAAGCTAAAAACACACATTCACATATATCCCACTCAGTGTATATTTCGATCAGTATCCATAATCATAGTCAAATCTCTAAACCTGCAAGTGCCGTGTATCAAGTCCATCATAAAAACAAGAGACACTGAACGATCAAGCATCACGTGTAGGGTTATTATGGATTGTTATGGTCAGTTATGCTTCAAATCGTTTGGTTCTGGTCAGACAGGCAATAAATAGCATAAGAAACACATTTCAATAACAATTCAAACAAAAGATGTATACTGCGATAATACTACAGTAAACAAAGATAAAAGTTCAGTGTTTGACCATTTGAAAAATGCTTTACTTTGCACACAATCATTGGGATTGTCTGTAACTAATGTAAGATTATTGTCCTGCAATGCAGAAATGAGCCACCGATCGCCTCGCTTCCCAGAGAAGAGCACAGATCAATGCATTACAGTGCAGTTCAATCTCAGGAAGAAATGTGAAGGAGAGAGTTATACAACGGACAATAAGAAATCACGCAAGGAGTGAGGAGACGGAGGTCTGAGAGCAACCGTAGCCACGAGAAGCTGCAAATAAAAAGAACGCAATAAAACTGTAGTATGTAGTTACGGTCCCTTTAACTCGGGTGGACCTGTAGAAGCAGATTTTGATAGTGTTAACAACAACAGAATCTCTCTGGAAGTCACGAACGACGGACCGTCTTATGGTACATTTTCCTGAAATGCATTTCAAAGGAGATGTAGTTACTCAAACTTGTTCCCTCTCTTTTCTTCGTCCCCGTTTCGCCGAATGCAAGAAGAGGTCGTCTAGGTTCGGACTTGAAATTTGCCGGCCTTGGTCATGTATTTGATGCCTTTGAAAGGTTTGTACTTCTCGCCATACATGTCCAACCTATTGACTTTCAGACCTGTTGGGTGAGAAAGCGGAAAGCATGTCAGTTGCAAAACAGGTGTGTATTTGGCACAAGAGAGTCTTTGGGGAAAGGCTGTGACTGCTAAAGCACTAAATCAGTAAGCGGTCAGCCTGAGCTTGCAATGCTCCATCACACGGTACAGAGCCATGTTACACTAGCTGCTCAAAGCATGTTTCCACATCACAACGGCTCCATCTCCTGGCCACGTAATACAATTGTCAGAAATGTTTTCATTTGCAGAAATGTGCTTTATTACTTTCCCTGTGGGAGATGAAAGAAGCGGTTTACTGACTGTGAAAATGTCTCATTTATTTTAAGAGAAGAAAATCTCCAGGGTACCCCAAACAAATGTGCTATTTTAATAGGCTAATTATATATTTGAATGCAAAACATTTCATATCCTATGTGGCAAATTCTACGGTGCATAATTAAGTAATGCACAAAACAATGGGAATTACATTTGAACTGGAATTTTTTTTTGAACGTGTTTGAATACAATTAGTGTGGCCGAGATGCTTTCAGAAGTGATTTCTGTTATTCTACTATCTTGGTAAACCACGTTATGTCCCACGTAACGTCTGAAACCACTGACGGACGGTACCTGAGACGGCCAGCTGCTGAATCTTGAACTGGAGGTTGATTGTCGGGTTTTCATCAGGTTTGGAGGCTCCGGTCTGGAGACTCATGGATCCTTTTAAACTGGGCAGTTTCTGGGGGTTTATCTTACCCACATCCCAAGACAAAAGCTGCGAATCACAGTTCACTGCAACATTAGTATGCGACATTCACATTAAACCAAATCAGAAGATTGAAGCATGATATATTTTGCTGTGCATTGCAATTAAAAGGTAGAAACAAATGAGCCCATTTCTGGTTTTATGCATTTTACTTTTGTCATCCCTGAACTAATTATTAAGAGAACTTCCGAGCTTCACGTGTAAAAATAAAATGCTAACTTTTTATGCAAGCGCAAAAATATCACGCTGGACAACACTGACCTTTAAAAGCCTCTAGTTATCGTTCTTGATGTGAACGGGCCTCAAGTCTGTCCCTACACACTTTCCATCTGAAAATTCCATACTTCTCAGTAGATTTCAGACCATATTTAACACACATGGTTCATAGAAGCTTTATTTTCAGCATGCAGCACAAGTCCTCGGTTTATTCATTGATTTTCTCCAAGTGACAACATGTAGAGCCCATATAAAAACACAGACTTCTGCATGCATGTGGGAATTCTGTTTGCATGCTAACGCACTACAATTTCAAAGTACACAATGACATGTGTACTTTGCCGCTTTGAACGATTACGTAATTGTGGCATCCATAATTGTAATAGCGATTAGAAATTTGATTAATTGTGCAGCCCTAATGCATCTATTTGCATATATATGCATCTCAATATGTGGCTTTACTTAAGGTAGTACCTCTAATATCAAGGACTAATGTCCAATTTAATGCATCCTCAATGGCGGCTAAGTAACAATGACACTTTCATGAAATTCCTAATTTTCTATTATAGAAATGGTGGCAAAAGTCTGGAAATGCAAATATTTTTCCCAAACTTTCCACACCTGGAAATGACTCGAATCAAATTGCACACTTTTCCAAACTGCGTAGGAACCGGTCAGTTAAACATCAGAACAATGAACCCTTGCTTACCTTGGTGACGGGGTCAAACGTGTAGGTGCCCTGCGAGGGGCTGAGGTTGGCGTTGAGGACGCCGCGGGGCAGCTGACTGCTCACCAGGACTGATTCCACCGCTTTACCCATCGTCTGCTTCGGGCCGAGGGTGAGCTCAAAGCGCCCCTGAGAACTGCCCTCTCTGAAGCTGATGTTGTGCTTCACGTACACCGGGATGGCCACCAGGCTGAAGAACACAGCAGTCACAGGTGAGACTGTACACTGCAAAATAACAAGCGACGGTATGCACACTAGCGTGCGGGAGTTTGGGCTCAGTATGCCTTCTTAATAAACAAATCAATGCTTTTTTTGATCAAGGGTGCGTTAAATTAATCAAGAGAGACGGTGAAGACAAAAAAAAGTTCTTGTGAAACTCCATTCATCAAAGAATTCTGAGAAAAATCAATAAAAACATCACCGTTTGCACAACTGCTTTCAACATGGATAATAATCAGAAACGTTTCTTGAGCTTCAAGAAGAGCTTACTTCTTAAAACTCACCTGTTCTCTGAATGTTATCATTTATAAGTTATGTCCTACATCTTTTTGTTTTCTGAATTTGTTTTCTCGTTTTGTTTTTCACTTGTGCTTATGTTTGTCATGTTTGTTTATTATAGCGATGGATTACAGGTGTCCTTGTTACAGTGTAATTCTGCATTTTAATACGGAGTAATATTAATTAACTACATGTACTTACTATATGGTTAGGGTTACTTGCACGTAATTATGCATGATTTATTGCTATTATAATAGTAAGTACATGTGACACGTGTAACAAGGTCACCGTATATAAAGTGTTACCCTGATGTTCTTACTGTATTGCATGTAAATAAAGCTTCTGAATATCTCACTTCTGAGAGCTGACGTGGTAGGACAGGAGGCGGAAGTTTCCGTCTGGAGGGACGAAGGACAGGATTCGCTCGGCCTCCCAGCGCTTGAACCGGACGCAGGGGTGGAAGCTGACATCATCCAGCAGTCGAGGGTTCTGCGGAGTCAAGGATGCAGGAATAAAACGTTGAGACAGGAATATGGAATGGGTTAGTAGTACACAGTCATACACAATATATTACAAGCTTGCACTTCAAAGTGCAGGTGGCAATCTGTCCCTAAATGCAAATTATGCTTAATGCATAAATGTCAAATTAAAAATGCCCAACATATAAAGAATTAAAAAGCCGTTTTGGAAGCTAAAGGTGTCAAAACATTAGAGTGCAGCAAGTATTGAAGTATCTTGTTCAGATCACATGACCAGCTGTAGGTCTGCAAATCAGTGTTATTTTAGTATTAGTTACACACTATTATAATATTCATATTGTGAATGAGCTTTTTAGCTACACATTTTAATTTTAGTATTTTTGTTACATGCTTTTTCTTCTTAATATTTCATTCTATCTTCTTAAACTAGATTACTTTTTTTTGTTGTTGTAATTTTAGTACCTAAAAAACTTAGCAATGAAAACTAAAAATGTTGTCTTGGCAACTAACTGAAGTAAAATAGGTTCATGTTTTTCCATGTAACGTATATATAATTCATTATTACTTTATTTCATCTAACAAAAATCATTTCATAATTGTAGTTATGAATTACAACACGTCTGTGTGTGATGCCGGCAGCTGTCGTTAGTTGTTCAGGACTTCAAAACATTCAACAAAACAAGCTTTTATTTAGGAAAGATGTCCAGATTTACCATAAATGACAAGGTGAGATCAGGCATTCCTGTGAGTTTCACACAGGCGTCTATCACTCCCTGAATCTCTGCTGTGATAGTGGAACCTTAGGGGAAATATACATATTTATGATTTACTGAGTCATAGGTGAGTGATTCGAGACAAAGACATCTGCGTTTTACGACTGGATCTGTAAACTATTATGAGATATGTGTCCCTGCAGCACAAAAGCAGTGTTAAGTCGCTGGGGGATATTTGTAGCAATAGCCAAAAATACATTGTATGGGTCACAATTATACATTTCTCTTTTATGCCAAAAATCATTAGGATATTAAGATCATGTTCCATGAAGATATTTTGTAAATCTCCTACCGTAAATATATCAAAACTTAATGTTTGATTAGTAATATGCATTGCTAAGAACTTCATTTGAACAACTTTAAAGATGATTTTCTCAATATTTCGATTTTTTTGCCCCCTCAGATTCCAGATTTTCAAATATTGTCCGATCCTAACAAACCGTACACGAATGGAAAGCTCATTTATTCGAAAAATTGACACTTAAGACTGGTTTTGTGCTCCAGGGTCACATATAAGAAGATGATCTACCCGATTTGTCAATGATAGCATCGATTTCTTCCACCACGTCAAAGTAAGCTTCGTTGTTGGTATATTTGACACCCGTGCGCCGCCACGGAACCACCGACAGCTGACCTGTAGGAAGCTGCTCGCCAACATTAGTGCTTCCTGCGCACACACAAGAAACACTGTTACGATGCATTCAAAAGCTGGCAGCGGTTTAATAAAGCAGACGCGAACACAGAACACCTGTGATGGTGTTGACCACCGTGCGCAGGATGGTAGGAGGTTTAATGAGCTCTTTTAGGATGTTTGATTCGGTGGCCAGCGGGAAGCCGTTATCCAGCATCTCCTCCAGCAGCTCGTACACCACCACAACATTGTCTTTAACTGCTGCCTCGGTGCAAACCCCGAAATAGTCCTGAGGGGAGAAACGGAGCACGCCAATTCAACATCTGAAGAGTTCATGCACCAAAACAGATAACATTTTTTTTCAAACGTTCGAAAATCGTGTTTTTATTGTGTTAGGTAAAAAAAAAGAACTAAATAATACAGCTAGCTAATCAAAAGAACCCGACTGCGGTTTGATTGAGACTAACTGGAATGCACAATAAAAATTTTTTTTTTACAAAAACATGATTTTTGAAAATTGTTCAATTTCAAAAACTCTTCATTTTCAGAACTAATGCTTTGGAATGGCAGCACTTTGAGATAATGCTTTATATTGAATATTTTGTCATCATGTACCATGGAAATTCATTTGCATTCTTGCGAGTACCATACTATGGTTTTTATAAAATATTATATTACAGCAGATAAACTTTATGCAATTTCCTTTAATTATCTTTGGCGGCTAACACGGTGTTACCAAAGTCCTTGCAAAAATACTAGAATGTTACGCTGAATGCAACAACATGATATTTGACATGGTCTATGAATATGCATACAGTGTATGTTATACAATACTAGTACACCACATTATCACCATCACTGTATCACCACAGTACTTTTATGATCATGGCGTAAGACTTCATAATCTTATGATCATTCAGCTTAACTAATCTATTGTATGTGGCTCATAACATGTTATTAAAGCATCATGGTATTAGTTCTTTATATAATTAAGCTTTGCCATCACAGGGATAAATTACACATAAATGATCATATTATTATTATATTATATAAGGTACTGCTACAGCACTGTTCTGTTTACATTTCTTTTTTTAATGACAGCAGCTGTGGATACACTACTTTCAAAAAAAGTCATTAAAAACAAAAACAATGGTGTGTATATATATATATATATTGAAGTACTGTGTGTTACTGACATACAACACGGATATTATTAATGCACTAAATCCTAGAAGCATGTACCATATCATGACATTACATGTGTTGGACACGGCACCGAGGCAATACCACGTCGTGTTAATACATTTACCATAGTAATAATTCAATTACCTTGGAGCACACTTGAGAAAAGGACTAAAAACATCATGGCACTACTTTATTTCTTACTATATGTTTTCTGGACATGGTACACTACCAGTCAAACGTTGTTGAACAGTACGATTTTGAATGTTTTTTAAAGAAGTCTCTTCTGCTCAGCAAGCCTGCATTTATTTGATCCGAAGTACAGCAAAAGCAGTAAAACTCTGAAATATTTTTACTATTTAAAACAGCTGTTTTCTATGTGAATATAAGTTAAACTGTAATATATTTCTGTGATGTGCAGCTGTATTTTCAGCATCATTCCTCCAGTCTTCAGTGTCACATGATCTTCAGAAATCAGTATAATATGCTGATCTGCTGCTCGAGAAACATTTCTGATTATTATTATTGTTATTATTATGATGTTGAAAACAGAAAAAAATAGAATTTTTGAGGTTTCTTTGATGAACAGAAAGTTCAGAAGAACAGCGTTTTTCTAAAATAGAAATCTTTTGTAACTTTATAAATGTCTTTATCATAACTTTTGATCAATTTAAAGCATCCTTGCTAAATAGAAGTATTAATTTCTATCATTTCTTTGACTCCAAGCTTCTGAATGGTAGAGTGTATAATGTTACAAAAGCTTTTTATTTCAGATAAATGCTGATCTTTGGATCTTTCTGTTCATCAGAGAATCCTGAAAAATGCACTCAGCTGTGTTCAACATTGATAATAATCAGAAATGTTTCTCGAGCAGCAGATCAGCATATTATACTGATTTCTGAAGATCATGTGACACTGAAGACTGGAGGAATGATGCTGAAAATACAGAAATACATTACAGTTTAATATATATTCACATAGAAAGCAGTTATTATAAATAGTACAAATATTTCAAAGTTTTCCTGTTCTTTGGATCAAATAAATGCAAGCTTAGTGAGCAGAAACAACTTCTTGAAATAATAATAATAATAATAATAATAATAAACTTTTGACTGTTAGTGCATGATACAGTCACTGGGGTCAATATAAAAGCGCGCTGCGTTAGAAAAATAATCAAAGACGTCCAAACCTGAAACGTGTCCACCACACGATGCAGGAACTCGATGACAAACAGCGGCGGCACCTCGCTCTGAATCACGGCCACGAAGTAGACGCGCTGGCGGAGCACGTTAATGAGGCAGTGGTGCGGGGTCGGGATCACCGGAGGGACGTTCTCCGGTTCCGTGGCGCGCTCCACTGCCTCGAAAAAATAATCGCAGACGGACCTGCTGACCACGCTCTTCCAGTGCTTCTCCAGAAAGATGTCCCCCGACGCGTTCACCAGGAAGAGGCTGTGGATCATCTTAGCAGCTGAGGACAGAGCAAGAACACGGCTATAGCCTGCTCATCTTCATCCTCCTCCTCCTCCTCATCTCTCGCGCATCACAGGGCCGTCTCGTGACAAGCCACGGGTTAAAAGGGTCCATTCATTTTCTTTGTGTGCGAAGGCTTATATTGTACATATAAATGAATACTTACAATGTTAGTTTTGTTTCCTCTTCCCAGGATTCTTTAATTAGACAGGACCAGAAATGTCGCTTCCGTCTGCGTTATTTTGTGTCGAGAAAAGATATGATCGTCACTCGCGCTGACCAATGGCAGGCTACGTCTAGCACGTTGACCCCGCCCACTCCATATATAGTGCGGAAGCGAGTGGACTGCTATCCTCGAAGATGATTGGACAGTGGCCAATAAACGTCACTGCACAGCGTTGTTTTATTGGCTCAAGGTAGCTTGTCTTCTGATGGTGGAAATTGAGGTTATGATAAACTTAAATATAGGTCAGCCCATGAAAAAATGAGTATGTGTGCCTTATCTTCAAGCTGATACTTAATTACACTATTACCAAAATATATATATATATCTAATTCTAGTATTAGACATTTTATTCAAAAGACTTGAAGCGGTGTCCCCAGGTTATATATATATATATATATATATTCTCCAATTAAAAACCTGTCCGATACTATTATTAAACTGGGTATCTGTAGAAAAATCAGCACAAAACTATGTATTTCTAACACATCAGTGGTACGAGCATGTACAAGGCTAGTGTAAACTATGTAACTTTTTCTGTGTTCAAAATTTGCTAAATGTATGTAATGAGAGAGTACATCATGAATGCATCTTCCAAACCGCGTGTTTGTCTTATTCCGAATCACTCCGGTACACTTATAATAAGCGCTTATATTCGGACTATTGTAGCCTGGTCACCGCTGCGGAGGAACACACCTGCGTGAACCGCCATAGACATACACTTAGAGAAGTAGATCCGGTTGGAATGTTCTTCCGCGGGATGTTTATTAACCGCTAGAGCGCCACAAGTTACATAGTGCTGCTTTAAACATTCAACCATGTTTGTTTTTAAATGCAAAAGCTATTTCACAGCATAGTACAACATACATAAACTGCATTGTGCCTTCTGCAGCTCTAACAACAGATCGAGCATTAAATTAAACGTTTATCAAATCTCTAGAAAGTCTTTCCAGCTCAGTTTAAAACAGTCCATGCATTGGCTTTGATAGAGTGGAAAGAATTCTAAAAGAGAGAATTAATTTAAAAACGCACATTACTTCAGAGATTTTTCAAGAAATGCAATAAGTGAAATGGCTCAACATAATTTATTTTTGTTCCATGTTAAAATGTACAGAGTTCTTTGAAAGTACTTGCTAGGGAAAAAAAATAAAAGAAAGAAAGAAACGAATAAATGGAAATACATACAAGGACAAAACAGAGAGGAGTGGAAGGTGGACGCTTCAGACCATCCCTCTCTTTCGCCGGATACCAGGCTCTCAGCTTACAGTTCACCATGTACAATTACAAAGTATACGAAAAGGTAAGCAATATAAACAGACAGAAATATACTGAGCTCATTTTTACATGCCTCGCAGATGTAAGGAAGTTGTCCTATACACACACAATAACCAAAAAGAAAATAACGCTAAGTGACCTTTAGATATCTCTTTTTTCCTTCCGTTTTAAAATAGCATTAATATACTACACAAAGATAGAAAACTCTAGAGATGAGATGGAATGGAAAGGTTAAAGGCATCTTAAATTCACTAAAAGTGAGTTGTAATTTTTTTTTTTAAGTTTTGAATTTCTTAATAATATTACCCCAAGAGTCGAGCTAAAAAATATGCCGTTTTTTTTTTTCCTGAAACAGAAGTGGAAAAAAATGACAGTACCAATATCCATGTCGGAATTTCGTTTTTTGTTTTTATATATATATATTTTTAGAAAAAACATTTTCTCTACAATAAGTCAAAAAGAGTCAGCTTGTCGTAAAAGAAAGCTGCCCAGTCTTGATAAAATTCAGAAAAACAAAAAGCGCACAAATAATACGTGAAACGTCAGGTCTTTGAGAAAGATTCCTCATATTGACAATGAATACTGGAACACCGAGTTGTCCTAAAACAGGAACCATCTCAGGACACCATGCACTTTAACCTTTATCCCGGGTGCGAGTGTTCATTTGTCCGTGTGTGCATTGCAGACACAGATCTACTTATTTGTACAACTCCCTCTCGATGCCAACAGCTAACATCACTACCCCATGATCAGCTGGAGTACGAGGAGCGCTACTTACTTTGAGGTGCCTACTTAACATCACCGGATGAGCACAGTCGCAATGCAGACGTGCTCCCGCGTGGTTAACCCCTTTAACGTTACATGGACGCTGCACTTTGATAGTACGAATTTAAAGACCATCCCACTACTGAGTCCTCTAGAGACATCTGTGGAGTGTTTATGAAACCGTTTCCTGTGATTTCTGTGCTGTGAACCAGATAGTACCAGAATATTTACATTAACTAGTTCCCAAGGACTTCTGTTTAAGTCCAGTCTATGGATGCATGGTCGTTACTATCAGACGTCTGTTGCGATTGGATATACACGATTCTGTACTGGGAAGACACCGATTCACAGAAACCTGCGATGCCTTGTGCGCCTCGACGAGTGACTATAGAGCTCTGTGTGAGTGAATGTGTGAGTGAGCGAGCGTGAATCACTTTGTCCACACACATGAAGCATGAGAAGGTCAGACTGAAACACAAGCATTTCAAAAGTCATTGAAAAAAACGAGAACATATAAAAAAATAAAGTAAATAATAATAATACTAATATAATAAAAAAAAGAAAATAGTCCATCTACGATTATTTTGTCTCTTTTTTTTTTTTAGGTAAGGCTTCCTATGTCAGTTGAACGATTGTGTGCATGATTCGATGCATGTTCAATAACAGCGTAAATGCATGTTTCTCAGTTTGAAAAGTTAGGTCCACTTCCCCTGTAGCTGCTTTGAAGCTTCGCCCCTTCGGTCTCGAATTTCGGTGGAAACCAACCCCCGTTGGTCCACACAGGGTCTGTGGGAGCATGACACTTGCCACAATAAAGGTCTATTAGATCATCTCCCCAGCTCAGGGCAATTGAGAAATGAACCTAAAAGGATCAGAGCTTGGCGACAACACATTTAGAAAGGAAAAGAAATCGTCGCAGTCTCTATGTCCTCTTCCTCCACCAAGCTCACTTTATCTCTTTTCACCCAGACTTTGGAGGGTGGTGGATACAAATGGATAAAGTACAGCGATGCAGAGTTCGGCGGGGAACGTCTCTCTCTCTGCTCGTTCTCTGCCGCTCATCTGCTCATGTATGGAGACTGCTTGGGGACGCCAGCGTAGCTGTGGTGCGAGGGGCCCGTGTACATCATGTTGCCATGATGATTGGGCTGCATAGGCTGCTGCGGATAAGCCTGGCCTCCCATCATGCCCATTTGCATTTGCATGGGGTACTGGGCTGGCTGGTTCATGTAAGGTGGGTTACTGTGGTACCCGCTGTTCATCATGGGCTGTGGCATTCGGTAGCCTGCAGACATGGCAGCATTGAGCGGATTCATGTTCATGGAGTTGTAAGCGGCAGGGGTTGGCATGAGGTTCGTCATCATGCCACGTTGCACCGCTAAAGTTCGCGGAGAGCCTTGCATGGTCACAGCGCCAGAGCTGCGGCTGTACAATTGCTGCTGGTGCGGGGAGCCTGTAGGAATCTGAGAGGCTTTGGAGCGGATTGAAATGTGGCCTTTGACTGCGGCCATCTGGCCTTGCAAACGCTGCGTGTGCGGAGGAGGCAATCCAATGTTGGCGCCTGTCATGTTGCACTGGATCAAAGGGGAACCGAGATTCATGGACCCAGAACTCAAATTTGGAGGTGGAGTCATAGTGGGCTGGGCTTGGGGCAAAGGCGGGTGTGGAGAAGAAGCGAGCTGCGCCAAGCCTGGGTTGGATAACGAAACGCTCGTCGCGTATGAGGTGACCGCAGCCGAATGCGAATAAGACATTGCATGGGGGTCCATGATGGTGTTGGTTAGCTGCTGGAGTTTGGCTAAACTGAAAGAAGCAGAGTGTTGACTGTAACCGCCGGCGCCGAAGTCTTGTCCCATGCGGTCATACAAACTCCGGCCTCCTCCGGCGCTGCCAGCGCTCTCGGGAATCTCCATGATCATGGGTGTGGAAGCAAAGCCATTTCCCATACTGCACTGCGAGAGTAGATATCTCTTTTTTCCTTCCGTTTTAAAATAGCATTAATATACTACACAAAGATAGAAAACTCTAGAGATGAGATGGAATGGAAAGGTTAAAGGCATCTTAAATTCACTAAAAGTGAGTTGTAATTTTTTTTTTTAAGTTTTGAATTTCTTAATAATATTACCCCAAGAGTCGAGCTAAAAAATATGCCGTTTTTTTTTTTCCTGAAACAGAAGTGGAAAAAAATGACAGTACCAATATCCATGTCGGAATTTCGTTTTTTGTTTTTATATATATATATTTTTAGAAAAAACATTTTCTCTACAATAAGTCAAAAATAGTCAGCTTGTCGTAAAAGAAAGCTGCCCAGTCTTGATAAAATTCAGAAAAACAAAAAGCGCACAAATAATACGTGAAACGTCAGGTCTTTGAGAAAGATTCCTCATATTGACAATGAATACTGGAACACCGAGTTGTCCTAAAACAGGAACCATCTCAGGACACCATGCACTTTAACCTTTATCCCGGGTGCGAGTGTTCATTTGTCCGTGTGTGCATTGCAGACACAGATCTACTTATTTGTACAACTCCCTCTCGATGCCAACAGCTAACATCACTACCCCATGATCAGCTGGAGTACGAGGAGCGCTACTTACTTTGAGGTGCCTACTTAACATCACCGGATGAGCACAGTCGCAATGCAGACGTGCTCCCGCGTGGTTAACCCCTTTAACGTTACATGGACGCTGCACTTTGATAGTACGAATTTAAAGACCATCCCACTACTGAGTCCTCTAGAGACATCTGTGGAGTGTTTATGAAACCGTTTCCTGTGATTTCTGTGCTGTGAATCAGATAGTACCAGAATATTTACATTAACTAGTTCCCAAGGACTTCTGTTTAAGTCCAGTCTATGGATGCATGGTCGTTACTATCAGACGTCTGTTGCGATTGGATATACACGATTCTGTACTGGGAAGACACCGATTCACAGAAACCTGCGATGCCTTGTGCGCCTCGACGAGTGACTATAGAGCTCTGTGTGAGTGAATGTGTGAGTGAGCGA